GAGAAAAAAAGTTGTAATTTTTATAATGTATAATTATTATTTATCCTTATTATATATTTAAGATTATTCTGTATGTATTATATATATATATATATATATATATATATATATATATTAATATGATTATATTTATATATATACATACACGAGATCATATTTAATATAATATTTGTTGATAATTGATTATTGGCTATTCTCACTAATACTTAATATCGACATAATCTGTTTTAGATAAGCAAATTAGCAGAAAGCTACAGACATATGACAAATTTACCAATATATATCTATATATCCCAACATATTTCAAATATTCAAAACAAGATACGAAGGCGCATTTTCGAAATCAAATGTCAACAGAATTATTTTCAGAATTTTGTAGAATATCAATAATTTCCGTTTAATGAAAGTAACAATTATGACGCAAACACATCTATATATCTTTCTTACAAATAGCTTTTTATAATGTTTATAGTTATCGACTTATTATTTATGCTTATGTGCTTTAATAATATATAATTAAATGTACGTATAATATATAATTAAATGTACGCATTTACAAAGTTTAATTTACTCGCAATTCACTGATGTTTTTATTTCCTTATTAACATGAAGTAAAGGAAAGTGTAAATTGTATTCATAATAATATATAAATAAATAAATTCCCGATTCAGCGACTTCGCCCCGATATTTTTCTCGCCTACGTCTCTTCAGGGGGGTCTCTAAAGAGGGTTTTATAGAATTCTCAAAAATGAGAATCTATATATCTTGGTAAATGCACCAAATAAAATATATGCATATGCCTTTCTCGTTTAAATTTTCGCATACAATTAAAGAATTTTCAGGCATTACCATCCGCTGTGGCTCGGAGACGCTAGTTTTCTTATCTTGTTGTTTAATATATAAATAATTATAATTAAATTATTTTATATTATAATTAAATATATAATTAAACTAAGTGTAAATTATGTTCATAATTATAATATATAAATAATTATAATTCAATTATGTTATATTATATGAATAATTTTAATTATATTAAATGAGAAAGTATCTGCAATATATTTAACATTATATTATTAATGTACTAAAAATGTATTATCTAAGTTAAATTGAATTCTGATTTATATTTTAAATTGTATTTAATTTGTTCTATATTTGTAACTTTATATGTTAATATTTATTAATTATGTTATCTTGAATCAAATTTTTATTATATGTATAATATAGATATAATAATGCATATTAATATTTAAATAACATCTAAAATTAAAAATTTATAAAACATATTACAATTCTTTAATATTTATATATGTAATAACAACTATATATTTATTTATTTATTTATTTATTTAATGCCTTGTGGCTTAGGATGACTTCCGTCAACCATTACATAAATTTACAAACATATCCATAAAAATTGCAAACATGTAACCTGATTTTTTATCTACATATATATTACAGATCACCCTAACTAACTAACTAACTCCCACTCTCATTCAATTCTCTGACTGTCCTTCAATTTCCCTCTCCACTCCTATCCTCCCTTCTAACCTTTTCTATCCATCTCATTACTTCTGAACCTTTTCCTTCCTCTCTAAAAATTCCTCTAACTGTATCTCACTTTTTGTCGCTTCACATTCTTTTAGTATATGATCTAGGTTCTCCTCTTCCCTTTGGCATAATCTACATCTCCTATCCTCTTAATTCCTCCCTCCAATGTTGGCTGCTCTTCACCTCCCGCATCTGTACCTGGCTATCATCATTTTATCTTTTTTTTTCTTTTTTCCTAGTAAATACCTTGATAACTCTTCTGTTAAACATCTCTTTATATTTTCTATTGTACCTTGACTCGTTTATCTTTATTCGCCTCTCCTCCCTCTCCCTTTTTTCTATTCTTTTTTCGAAATTCTCCGCCGCCTCCTGGTCCTTCGCCTCCATTTCTCTTCTCAACTGTTCCCTCTCCATTCCTGTCCTCTCTATCAACTCTCCTCTCTTCCTCTCCCCTTTCCTCTTTCCTTGTCCTGCCTTTCTCTAGATCCTTTATACATGGATTATTTTCTTCTCTGACTTCTTCTTCTCGACTTCTCCTCATACCTGACAGCTCTCCTTATTGCCCTCTCTTTTATTCCATTTTATTCCTCCATTTTATTTTGGCTTCTTCTTCTATTATATAATTCGGGGTTCTTCTATCCAGTCCCAAAATCCATTTAACATATAATAATTGCAAATAAATCGGACATTGAATTTTATGTTATGTATTTATAAACAAAAACGGATTACAAATGTTTGCCAAAATATCTTCGTCTATCATCATTTGTGTGATAATAATTATATCGCACGCGTGTCTATTGATGGTTTCGATTATCATATTATAAAATTTGTGCATATCTCGCAATCAAATATTCCGATTATTGTAGATTTATTTATTCGTCGCGTTTTCTCGCGAATTTTAAATCGCGATTTATTTAGTAATTTAATTGTTGATTTCGAAGTTTATTCTATCTTTTTATTTTGAATATTTCCTTTGATAATCTATACAAAATGCTCCAGTAATGCAAATACTTTCTTTTACAATCGAAGAAACGATCAATAATTTTATTAATGTCTCTTTTGATCACGATTATTTACGTTATATAGAACTTATTAACTTATTAACTTATTAACTTATTAAATGCTATTATTACATATCTATTATTAATAATAAATGTCGTGTAATTAATCTTCGCAATCTCGTCTGGACTATGAAAAAATTTTTAGTAAATTTTATATTGTACGTATATTTTGAACATTTTCTTATAATAAATTATTCCATGTAATAAATTATTTTGTATTAAATATCGACTTATATTTTATATTTAATTTGTATTATATTTTGTCATATAATTGTAAAATGTATTTAGCATAGAAATATTATGCATAAAAATATTATGTTGGTATGAAAATTATAATAAAAATATATAAAAATAATGTTGTATAGCTATATTAAAATGGAACATATAAATTCTTTATATTTTGTTCTTTATATTTTATATAAAGGAAGAAACTTAAAATATTTTGCAACATTTATATTTTTCGAGTCTTAATTAAAAAAACTTTAGAAGAATCAGTGATTAATTTGACAAATTCTATACATGTATTAATAATTAAATATAAATATAAATAATTAATAATTAAATATAAATTAAATATAAATAATTAATAATTAAATTTTTAAATAATTAAAAAAATGGTTGATAAATATCAAAGATCAGTTTACTGCTAATTAAGAAGATTTATAGAAATACAGTTAAAAATGGTCAATTTTACGTTTTTTGCAAATATTAAAACTATTAATTATTAACAAATATTAAAAACTATTAATTTTAAACGAGGAGCAATTGTAAATTCGGAGCAATTAAGGAGCAATCGTTTGAGCTATAATTTATTATATAATTTATTATATAAAAAATATTATATATATAGTACTCCTATATTGCACGTTCAGTAGGAGGAATGAGCGAAATCATTACGGTGCAGACGATACGATTCTCTCTCGCACAGTTAGTCTGTTTTAGCACTTTTGCGCATGCGTCAAATATATATATGCCATATAATTTATTAAACAATTTTTTAAAATCTATCGTTGCGATACAATTTTGCGTACTATTTAGCAAAAATATTTAAAATATTTTTGCGACAAATTAATAATAATACCGCGTTCGATTTTCGCAACATATAACGCACTAATATTTTAGTTATATTATCGATTTTGACGTAAACATTAGGATGCTATTGTTTGTATGTATGGTTTTGCTATCATTTATTCGGTGACACTCGAGCAGTAAAATAGTGATGCAAGATGATTCGTATGTTAATTAATTGTTTAATAAATAATCGATTAATAAATCTATAAATAAAATACTTCTGTTATTTAATATTTCGCATTAATGCATATTTTGTAATGTATAAAATATTTCGGCAACGAATTATCGATAACACGGTGTTCGACTTTGGCAATATAAAATGTAAACAGTAGCGCGCTATACGTTACCGCTTCGTATATTGTTATAATTTTTGTACTAAACACTATTACCATTAGTACGAAACATAATTCGCTATAAATATTAATAATTAAAAATTAATTAATTTTTGATAAACGACATGAAATGACTGTATCGGAACGATAAATATTTATCGAATCGTAATCGTTGATTACTGCGAATAAAAATTGAAACAGGGGATACATGAAAGGGGACAAGAGAATTAAATATATTATGATCTTTTAATCATCGATGCTTATTATAATATTTCTTCAACAATATTAGAATAAATATATTTCGACCAATGCTTTAAATTTTCTCAATCCTAGTTAATTAAACAATATACAATTTAATCGAGAATCAATTTAATGTGATAGGAATCCAACATATTGAATAATCACATCGATGTTTGCAATCTTTACGGACAATAATTATTATTTTAATACTTAGAGTCATCAAATATATTCCATCCGTTATTTTATTATTCTACTTGACAATCTAAATATAATTGGGATGGATATAATACAATTGTGAGAGAACGAAGTAAAACAATCGAATTATAGATGCAAATAATTAGCATAACGAAAGACTTCAAGATGAATGGTTTAATAAATAATCAATTAATCTTAATCAATAAATAAAAATACTTCTATAATTTAATATTCCGCGGACAAATATTTTATATTACAGAAAATATTTCAGTAACGAGAGACTTATCAATAACACCGTGTTCGACCTTGATAAACAGTATCGCGCTATTGTTAATATGTGACGTGGCTTTATTATCATTCGCACAATGATTTTGAGTCGTGACATGAGAGACGTTTCACATATTATCAAATTCTTTCTTCATAGTCAACCTTGGCAACAACCGGCGATATAAACAGTACCGCAATAATGTTTCTGACTTACGATCATTCGGTCAATGGCTCTTGAGCAATGAAGTAGTGATGCGAAACGTATCATATATTATCAAATTTTTTCTCTGAACACAATTGCAAGTATAACGAAAAACTTTTCGTGAATGAGTGTAAGTGCAACGAGGAATTCAAATGATTGCAACGAGGATTGGAGTGCCACAAGGATAAAGTGAAACAAAAGAAAAAAAGAAGGTCTTGGAAATGGATGGATCAATAAGATGTAAGTCATTAATATTTTTATAAGTTATAAAATTTATATAGTATATTACAAAATTAATTATATATTATATTATATATAAAATTATATATAATATAATATAACCCTCCCATGGGGTACACCTTGTCGCGGTGGGAGGGCTTAGTACTTGGATGGTGCCTTGAGGTTTATTTTAAATTTTTCAATTTATGATAAATCTTAAGGTGTCTGAATAGGAAGCTAAGTACCCTTTCGCGTCGTCGGTGCCGTCAACGTGCCGCGGACAGCAAGCGCTTCGTCAACGCGTTAG